TTATATTATTATTTCTTTGGTAGAGTTTATGCCATACATGGCTCAAGCGCAGATATCTCAATACAATTAAGTGAGAATATATATTTAAATTATCATTTTGTATCAAAAAGCAGAGATATCAGTATATTTTTTCCAATAGTACTAATATGATTAATGCTGGTTATAAAATACAAAGTGTAGAAAATGCTAAATCCTTGTCCTATATATCATGATATACATTTTGATAAAAAAGTTTTCGAATTGTAAGTAAAACGCAAAATGTTTAATTGTTGTTATTATGCCAACGACTTTTCCAGTCTTCCAAACACTTTTCATAAACACGCTTTCGCCTTCAGCTTCTTACGCGAATTTTATTTTATCTCTTCGATCGACTGAAAACGGCTTCTATTCCGATGATTGTCGACTTGTTTGCAATCTAAACTCATAAATCCATGTCTCATCGGCAGTTATACTGCTTTCCATGAATGTGGGAACGGACTTTTTTTAAAAAAGTTCAGCTTTATCGGTACGGGACGAGTCGAGCAAGAATGCGTTTTATATCCAAAATAACGTCGAGCTTTCTTGCCGTCTCTCTAACACTTGTCTGATGATTTTCAAGCACCATATCATTCACTTTTCTTTATAATATTATCATCAGTCGAAGGTCGTCCAGAACGAGCATTCTTTCTTCTTTCAACCATCTTTGAATGTTTTACACCCCCGTCTATTTATGGTTTTGATAAAGCAGAATCACCGTAAGCCTTTTCCAACCTTCGCAATGATTACGTACACGAAATGCGGTTAGATTCCAATGCACTACTGATGCACACCTCAGTACACCACACTTAAGCAGCTGCTGTTTAAAAACTGGTTGACTGGTCGCTCATATTTGGCATAATAATTAAGGAGGAGGAATCATATGTAGAAGTTCACGTAAGTGAGGAAGGTTCTCTGATTGTCATTTACTTGGGAGTGCCAGAAACGATCATTTTACAATTGGCTCAAGCAGCTCATGACTTCCGCTCTTAGACCAAGTATCCTATGGTTAGCCAAATAATATGCGTTTTTCGCAATATATAATATAATATTCTTTAAGCACTTCTTAGTATTGGTCTTAACTATATGTATATAGAAGAGAGAGCAAATTTCGACTTCAGCAGAGCCAATTTACATATCCGTCAGAGGTAGATAAGAATGGTAAGCAATTTCTACATTAACATAACCCAATCATTTCTAATATCTCTAGACCGCAAGATTGCCTTTACGGGAGCTCTATGTGCGATGGGATTAGTCATTTGTTGTTTAGGAAAATAAAATCTAGCATTTATGATTGCGTGGTTATGTCTATCGCAACCAATTCCTCCGGGTTGATATAGCGCTTATATGTTTTTTCAAAAAGAACTCTGATTGAGTTGAATTTCGAGCCAAAAACGAAACGACTAACAAAATTGTCTGAGGACGTAGAGCTCAAGGTAGATAGATAAAACTGAATTCATTAAATACGAGTCCAGTTGTGTCAGAATTATATAATAGAAAACTAGATTTCTCGTATTATTGTCAAATATTACTGACGAGATTAAGATGGAACTGATTAGGTATTTTTTTAAATTAAAAAAGAAAATAAATCCTTTTCGAATGGGGTTAAACATAAAGGTATAAAACGATGATATCTATCCATCGAGCTCATGTGTGCAAATTTGCAAACCCCACTTAATAGTCCGAGGAGTCCATGAGAATCTTTAACATGTGGAACGCCAGTCCATGGACCCCTCATCCGAAAATTGCTGAGTCAGTTGGTACATGTTAAGAAGTAGAAGGCACAGACTAAATCGCTGCTTTTTTATGATTCATTTTCAACACAAATACTTCGGCGGCTTTTAATCTTCCTCTTCTTCCATTTTATGAATATTTTTGTCACGGTTTATTAATTAATCTATTTTAATGACGCTTCACGTTTCGACGTTGAGTCAAACAGACCACTTCGACTGCTTCTTTCCGCGTTGCTTTACTTGTTATGTGATTTATGCGCTGAAACCCGTAATTTGTGGAACGTTGGGTTTGCAGTGTGACGGTGTTCGATTGACTACCTATTTCAGAGGTTATGTACGTTTGTATGTACATATGTATGGACATCTAACTCCGTTAATCATTTGAAGCGGTTAATTGTAGCTGCCACTGCGTGTATTTTCTTACGTTGCGCACACTGATCTATAATTAAAGGATTAACATGTATTTTAACGCTGCTATAATTTGATTAGTTTCCTGCTTTTAATTGGCTATTTGGATTTGAATTTGACTTTGACGGCTGCAAAATGAACATACTCGTAAAAATTTATTTATTCTCAGCTGTCTGCTTGTTATGCAAGGGGGGCGTTGCCCTGTATAGGTACCTATGTGTATCTGTAGGTGAAGTGGCACTTGGATGAGCAGCATAAATTTGAATAATCATGCGTAGATACAGGGTGTGCCATCTTTAAAAAAAAAAAAATAAGCATATATTATATTGGATGTATTTTTATTTATTTAACTTCTTACCATTTATGTGAAATATACTTTGGACATAGTTAAAATCCGTCTTGGACCAATTAGTGTAGCTTCCGATGCTTTCGGCACTGTCTGCCTTGAACTCGTCCATGGTTCGAGAATTTCTCGCGCATATTTGGCGATTTAAATAATCCCAAAAAAAGAATTCATGGTCGATATCCGATCAAGGTCACTTCCTCGGATATCCAGTGCATTTTATAGCAGAAACTGAAAATTTTCATCCGCAGTGTAACATGAAACATGTTTCTTTTAAAACCAGTAGTCGTTCAACAAATTTTTCATCAATAGAGCAGAAATAATGAACCAAAACTCATCGCTATCAATATTCGTCGACATACAGTGAAAAAAATATGCTGCAAAGATTGCAAAATTGCTTTTCAGACACTTTTTGGTCTTTCTATCATTTCATTCTTTCATGAGTTCCCTGTTGAGCACCGGTTTACCTTTTTAAATAATAGGTTTTCAAAAAAGGCTTGCGGTATTTTTTTTTATTGAATTTTCAATTGTTCATACATTTTTTTTTTGATGACTCATGCCCAGCTCTTGACCGATGCTACGGCTGCTACTATGCAATTTAGCAATTTTCGACGATAGGCCTTACGGAGCGTGGCGCATCTTCGACCACCTCTACACCAGAACAAAAACGTTGAAACCATCGTTGTGCGGTGGAAATGGATACTGTATCCGGTCCATAAACTGCACAAATTTTATTGGTGACTTGAGATGAATTTTTGCCTTTATCGTAGTAGTATTGTAAAATATGCCGTATTTTCTCTTTATTTTGCTCCATGTTTGCGACGCTATAACTCACGAACGACTTAAAAGAAACGACAATCAATCAAACACGTGTTAGCGCGTGAAATGAGCTTTCCTGAAAAGTATAACATGACCCGATGCGACGAATAAAACTAGAACTACGCGCTCTCAGCACCAACTAGCGAAAATACCGCAAGACTTTTTTAACATTTTAGATACCAAGAGTTGAAGAAGAAAGCGAGACGCATTTGCTGAAAGAAAAAGAAAGAGGCCGAAATGCGTGAGTCGAAGAGCTTGACAAGCTAGCATGGATCAGCTTCTTTGCAGAATATAGTCAGACGAAAGAATGCCCGACGATTGGAATTTAAGTGTGCTATGCCCCACCAAATAAGGGCAACCCCACAGTCTGCGCCAACTACTGTGTGATAAGCCTCTCAACATCGCATATAAGAGTGTATTATGTGAAAGAGTAAAGCCAATCGTCCACAAACTGATTAGACCTTATCAGTGTTGCTTTAGACCTGGCAACTCAACAACTGACCAGATATTCACCATGCGTCAAATCTTTGGAAAGTCCCTTGATAATAGGATCGACACACACCACCTCTTCGTCAATTTAAAAGCTGCTTTTGACAGCATGAACAGCTTCAAACTACTTTTGGAGAAAGTAGTTCAAACTGCAGAATTTAACAGAGAAGGTACCATCTTCTATAAGAGTGTACAGCTGTATTGATATCATTGGCCTTAACAACCCTCCGTTAAGGAAGGGAAGCAAATGGGGCTGGTAGTGAACGAGGTAAAGACGAAATATCTCCTGTCATCAAATAGGATTTTACTCGCAACAGGCGATCGTGTATAATTTATTCTATGTATCTTTAAATCAGTATTAACACCAACATCAATGTTAGCCTCGGAATCCAACGTAGAATAACTATTGCCAACAGGTGCTACTTCGAACTGAAGAGGTAATTGAGAAGTAAAGTCCTCTCTCGACGAACAAGGGCCAAACTCATTATTCCCATCGTACTATATGCTGCATGAGTTATGCGTGGACATTAAAATAGTTCAGTTAATTAAGAGACAGTGGCTAAGCTGGCTATGTTATGTCGCCCGTGGAAGTTGAGGATGAGGAAAACTTCACTCCGTTGGAAAGACCAGGTGGAGAAGGATATAACCTCAGTGATAGAACTCAATGATTTAATACGTGCTCCAGTTAGGAATGATAAAACAATTTGTCAACGATTTGATGGTGCAAAGATATTTTGTTTAGTGACATTCGTAGACCTTTTTTGAACGTAATATGGAACAGTTAAAAGGTGGACTGCTTATTGGTCCTCAAATACAGTAATTCATGAAAGATAGAGATTTCGTCGTAGTCTTGACTGTTCCGGAAAATGCAGCTTGGTAAAATTTAGTGTTGCTGGTCGCAGTTTTCCTAGGGAGCACCAATTTATGAAGAGATTATCCAAAATATGCTGATAAAATTTAATATTCTAAGAGCAAATATGAGTTTCAAATTAGATAATATTAATAATATAATATATATATTCGGATTATTTCGATAATTGTGGTGAGAAAAAGATAGAGTTCTGTTCCATAGCATCTAAGAGTGATGGAAAAAATGTATAAAGGTTGATTGGATTGCTCCATGGTAACATATTATTGTTGATCCTTAAAATTATGTTGTTAACTAGAAAATTATAGAGAAAAAATAAAGGACCTTTAGTAACAATATAATATTTTATTTCGACTTTTGACTCTCTAACTTTTCAAAACTAAACTTATGTCAATATATTAAGTCATCCGCTTTCAATTTTGGATGCTAAATCCGCCGCTGATGACCGCAGTTTCAAAACATTTTCTTTTAATTCGTCTATGGTTTCCTTGGATGTCGTAGTCATGCTGTATTAAACAAATGTATGTCAATAAGACACATATAAATATTTGAAAAATATTGTTGGTTTTTGGCAGTATGAAACAGTTACCTTTGCATTGTATTCTCCAAAGCATTATGTTTAAGAACACAAGAGTTAAGCCTTTTCTCCAAATTTTCTACTTTTTCAACAGAAACCAAATTCAATTCCGCCTGCTTGCCACTGCTACGTTTAATAGATTAAATGGCGAATGTCATCAGGATTTATTTGTTATATTATATTTACATTTCCAGAAAACTATCCATAGCAGACATCTTTCTCTCACATGATTTTCCGATTCGCATGGAATCGTCAAGAGTTCTTCTGACGTCCAAATGTATTGCAAACGGCTGATCCACTTCGAAAGCGCAAGCTACTCCAGTTAGTAACAGAACCAATCGGTAGTCCAGCCACGAGCGTTGTTTGCCCATTTTAGTATACTGTAGTTTAATATTATCAATCTGTTTTAAAAAGAAAAGAATATCCGTTACTTACAACCAATATTTATTAATGGCTCTCAATTTGTGATAATCTCAATAATGAAGTGACTGCTGGACTAAAATTTAGTAATCAAATTATTTGTAMAGAAATCATTTGCTGCTCTGAGATTTTGATAAACAAAGCTCTACCTTTCGAAGGTAGAGGAAGCACATAAAGCATAGTTAAAGAGAAATTATTGGGTAATAATTGGGTCTGCTTAAATGTTAAGGCCAAAAGTTGCCATAAGGCGGAACTCAATTTCAATGAGGCCAATACTTTTTGCGGAGTTGATTTTTTTACAAATGTTACTTGGATAACGTGGCCTCCAATATGGTGCGATTAAACACCGCCGGGCTATTTTTTGTGGCATTTTTTGGCGTTATATTCGACGCAGTACCCACCGGGGGAAGCAAAAGAAGAGGAAGACCTCCACTTCGTTGGAAGGACCAGGTAGAGAAGGACCTGGCTGCACTTGGTATCTCGAATTGGCGCCAAATAGTAAAAAAGAAGACTGGCGCGCTGTTGTTAACTCGGCTATAAGCGAGTAAGCAGTGTCYACGCYRRTAAAGAAGAGSAAGATGTGAAGTCGTTRGTCTATACAAATAGATAAGTTAACTAAATTTATTTGTAAAAATTTTATATATTCTTTCTCCGAAGTATGTGTATTTTATTATTTTATGGATAAATGTTGCACATTTCTACTGCAGAGTTTGGGTCACACTGCAAGTCAAAAAGTTTCCGACAAAGACGCTGCACTGAGTTTCTTACCGGTTTTGTGACAAACAAAATATTTAAATGTTATAAATCTGTTGATCCAACTTAAAAGTTGTTTCTCAATTCGAATTGAGTAGATTATGTTTCTGTTATGTTTTTCAAAAATTATTATTTCATGAAAACCCGCTTTCGAATAATTTTTTTTTGCCAAACTTCGTAGCTTCGCTGTTTCATGTGAACTGACTGCTAATCTACTGAGTCTCTCTGTCATGCC